AGAGAGTGTTATATATATATATATATATATATATATATATATAATTTTAATTTTAATACATTTTAATATAATTTTATATATAACAAGTCAAACAAAAAAAAGTACATCACTGTCTTGCTGCGACCAAAGTGATTTGAACGCACTTGACATCGTAATTACAAATTTCCCAGGAGGACTTGAACACACCAAAACCATTTCTAAAGCTGATTTTGGAAATCGCATACTAGCATACCACTCATATTTATTACATATCTTCTATTTCTATTCATTACATACCATGTATATTTTTGACATGGAAAACTAGCATACTATTTACTGAAAAGTGTACTGAAAATTGTAGACATTATTCCACAATAAACCATTCAAACAGTAATAAGCTAAACAGTTGTCACATTGCATATGACTGGAAATAAAATGGTAATTTTGTCTTTTTAATTAAATTTATGATAAAAAAAATGTTATAAAAAACTTCCTTCACACTTGAAATAGAAGGTCAAGTACATTGCATTGTGGGATACAATACTCTTTACTTTAATAGGTGTAGTATTGTAGGAAACTGTACGTAGTGTTTATAGTATACATACTATATACTAAATGGCCCGCTCACAAGAGAAATATCATTGGCTCAAAATCCTGTTCCATATATCTGTATGCTAAATATTAAATAGGTGCTGATATTGTTGCATGTGACCATGTTTTTACTTAATGCTGCAAACTTGTTCTAAATGTTTGACTCAGGAACAGTTAATGAAAATAATTTGTGAATGTACACGTGGGGCCTTTCATACATGTTGTGTGACTGTTAGTTTTTTTGCAGCATGGTGGTTTTTATTTGTGCATATGAGTTTGTTTTCATGCATGTTCACGTACACACATGTGCATGTGTGTGTCTCTGTGTGCATGTGGCAGCCTCATACGGTCCATCTGGCCTTTGCGTCTGTCATCTGGAGCGCCAGGTGTCAATGTGTCCCAGAACCCCTCTCTTTCTCGTCCTCCAGAGGCCCTGAACCGCATGTGTGTGTGTGTGTGTGTGTGTGTGTGTGTGTCTGTTTGTGTGTATAGCGTTGCAGGAAGAGGCAAACACAGCCCCGGTGAAAGTCATTATGAACTGCGTGTGTGTGTGAGGGGTTGTGTTTACGTGTGTGTACTGACCACTGACTAGGTTTCTTTGAGAATTACAGCAGTGAGCAGGTAAAGATTGAGGTATTGTGTGCGCCAGAGCTTAGAGGGCTCAGTTTGTGTGTGTTTGTGTCTCTATGAAGTCTAAGGCCCAAAATACACGCAGTTTGTGAATACAAACGTTTCTAGCTGTTTTCACACTTTCTAGAATTTGTAATATATAATGTAAAACAAATATGTTACCACAAGGGGCACTATAGAGCATTAGCATAAATCTGTAGTGAGTTTTGGCTATCAGGTCAACTACTGTCATGGCCGGCAACAGTTTCAAGATAATCTCACTAAACAATTTAAAGTTAGTCAAATTTGACAAATGTTTATGGATAGGTAATTCTTAAGAGGTCATTCACACAGAATTTTTTATTTTTCCAAAAACATGGGAATCAGGGCAGTGGAATAAAAAAAGATGCATTTTTAAAACTACACCATGTAATTTTTTGTTGTTAAGATTTAACAAAATTTAAATAATGAGTGAGCACATCTTAAAACTGTTTTGCCTTGCCCTAAATCACTAAACTAAATTAATTTATATTTTAAGAGCCATCGGGACGGATTTCTTAGGAAACTACATACTTTTGTCATTCTCCTGTGCTTATTTTTTATGTCATATCTGTAAATAAATAAGTTCAGGCTACTACTATATGTAGTGGAAGTAGCTTGAAGCTAAAACAACGTTGAATCCAGAACCAAAATGAGTTTGCAAGCTGAAAGGCAAAGCAATAATATTCGTAATAAAACATGAATCAACATATATGAATAGCATCACATTTGCTGTACACTTGGTTCACAAAACAATGTTTGTTGGTAACAGTGCCAGTCTTTAAACCAGTTTCTACTTTGGTCTGTTTGCCTATATTTCGATATTGTTTGCCTATATTTTATATGGGCAATATTTTTTGCCTGATTATATAGGCTTATATATTTCTCACACTGATAAGGCGATCATCTGTAACCATGAGCACAGTGGAGTGCCTAAACCCATCAGATTCATCTGTGCAGAGCTGAAGCACAACTCACATAATGACCAACATAATGTTTCTCTGTAAGTTAGTAGGTTTATGCTTCAAAATAGCTGGAGGGCCAAAAGTTACATAGTGTAGCTTTAATTTCAGTGTCACATTTTAGAATGCTGTGTCATGCGCAAGCGCTTTGGGACAGTGCGCTTGTGATGCATTTGCATACTCGTGTAGTGTATACTTTTTGCCTAAAACCCTGTTCACATGCTCAGAGATTGTCCCTTCATGTGGCTAGTTCCTGTACTGGTTGGTCACTAGCTGGTGTTGAGTTCTTGTAGCTCTAACAGTAGACCATGGCACTAGCAACATCAAGGTCATGGGTTCGATTCCCAGGGAATGCATGAACTGATATCATGTGTGCCTTGAATGCAATGTAAATCGTGTTGGATAAAAGCACCTGCCTAGTTTATAAATGTAAATGCAGTTACCCTAATAACACATATGAACATCATTACCATTAAGATGACATTACATGATATAATTGAATCAGTTTTTTAGTTCTAAAAATGAATATTCTGGAGAAAGCAAATGCAAACAAATTGCATATATTTCTTTGTGTGTGTGTGTATTGTGTGCTTTTATTGACAGTGTGGTTGGTCTGGTTGAATAAGGCATAGAGGACTTACAGTGTTTAAAGAGCCGTTATTGACAGGTCACAGTCAGTGGTGCGGGGGTCTATTGACTTCTTGATTCGCGTTTGCGCGTGGTGTGTTTTCATATGTAGGGCCCTTTTATGTGTTTTGAGCCTGGTTAGGCGTGTTTTTTTGTGCAAATCCCATTCGATTTCTGGCCATTGATCTTACCTTGCATGTCATTGCTTGAAACTTTTGTTGATGTGTGTGTACTGCATGATGACACATCTCACTGCGTCTGTGTGGCGGTCAGTATCTCGGAAAGTCCCTGATATAGCTGGAAGCAGAAGGAGATTGAGTGGGCGGGGCCTCAAACATTGCCTGCCAGGCCCCACCCCTTCCTCTTGTAGAGGAATCTCAGTCACACAGCCGGACGGCTAAAAGTATTTTAGGAACAGCGTGTGTGTCGATGTCTGTGAGAGAGAGACAAAAACAGGCCGACACACAATATATCAACATATATCAGTACCTGCTTACATTTACATACTCTTTGGACACTTTAGTGGTGTTTGCTAAACCAAAAAGTTTGCTAAACCAACTGTTACTCATACTGTTTGTGCTACAGACATAACTGTTGTCTCAAATCAAGATTTGTTAAGAAGAGTGAAAAACATTTAAAAATACTAGCAAGTCCTTAGCACTGCATAGCAACACCCTAGCAACCACCCGTAACACCTTAGCATTGCGGCGATGAATTCTGCATTTTATCTACTGTATGTTCATCAAAGACAGACTTTTTTTAAAAATTGGTAATTGGTCTAATATAATATATATATATATACAGTGGGTACGGAAAGTCATACCCACTGTATATATATATATATATATATATATATATATATAGGTCTACTGATAAATGGCAACATTTGGTGGATTTCTTTTAAAAAACTACTAAAAAAGTAGGTATTCACGTAATAGTAATAATAAAAAAACAATAAAATAATAATAATAATTAGTTACTGTTGTCAAAAATCTGACATAATTACAATAACATTGTAATTGCATAAATAATAAAGTAGTATTAATAATAACAATTACAACAGTAATAATACAAGCATAGTATAAATTCTGAATATTTTATTATTAATAATTATTATTATTATTTATAAATTATATATAATGTATATACTCAAAATACTTGTTTGTATTGTTGCATAATAATTTATTTTTGTCCAAAAATTAGAAATAAATAGAATTGCATTAAAATAATAATAATAATTTGTTGTTATTATTATTGTTGTTGTTGTTTTATCATTATTGTAATTATCATTATTATTATTAAAATACTCATAATGCATACTGTTTTTATTTTGTATTACAATTGTCATTTAATTATTATTGTAAAAAATCTGAAATAAACAAATATGACTGCAGAAATGATTTAGTTGTGTTAAAAAGTGGAAATAAAACAGAAATCAGATCTGTTTATAGATTAAAATCAACTGTATCAGTCTCTGCCAGTTTAAAAAAAATGTCTGTGTGTAATGTTTATGGTGCTCTTGATCCTGTATTCTTACTGTCATTCTTGTGTATTGTTTATGTGTTTGTGTGTGATGTAGAGACTGAGGAGATGATGGGTTAAAAAATAACCTTCGAAATTAATCTGGTGAGTGTTTGTGTGTGAGTGTGTGACTGTCCATGCACTCACGCTCTGTCTGATTGGCTATGTGCATGGGCCGACAGCCCATCTGTGTTGGCTTGTCTATGGGGTCAATGAGGGAAAAGGGGGTCTGGATGCGTGTGTGCGTGCGTACAAATGCCAAAGCCCTGTCAGAGAGTAATGAGAGAGTGGGAGTGTGTGTTTGGGAAACAGAGAGAGGGACTAGGTCATGTAAGGTGAAATCATTGCCTGTGCATGTTACTTCATGATGAAGGGAACGCTCCCCTCCCTCTTTTTCTCCCTCGGTCCTTCGTTCTTTCATTCTGGACGTCTTCCCAGGAAATGCTGCCATTGTCTCCACTCTCCCAAAGTCCCACAGCCATAGACTACCCCTGCCCAGTCCCAAAGCAGGCTGGGAAAAAATCTGCCATTTGCACCACTGCGGTATTTCAGCCCTTTACGGTCTTAGCAAGCCTGGCTCCGCAGAAAGAGAGGGATTTGAGACGGAAAAGGGAAAAGGTCTGGAGATGAGGCTTGAGAGTCCAGTTTAATGAGACATTTCCCATTTTCTTACTGCTCCATTGTTGGTGTTAATGTTGAATTATCAATGACTCACACAGTTTTCTTTCCTTGTTTCCTTCCTCTGTCTTTTTTTTGATTTGTCATTCAGTTTTCAAGTTGCTCAATATTTGATATGAAGACGACCATGAAAAACACTCTAATGTAGCATCCCTTACTACAAACATCCCTGAAAGGTCCTTTGGGTTTGACGTTCTGTTTGTTTGTTTTTAAATGCTGTAGGCCTGCTGAGATTGGAGGGAAGGTGAAGCTGATGGAACTACACTATGTAGACCAGCTATGCATAGGACCCGCCTCCTTTTTCTTGTAGCCTCATGGGATTGGTCAGATGGAAGACATGGCCCATAGCAGACCAGGACCTCCAAAATTCAGGAAATTATTGATGTGTAATGATAATATTTCTACGAATAGGATGTTTTCTTGCTGAATTACTCCAAGATCTGATCTCCTGTGCTCCTTTAAGTCCTTTTCACATGGTTTGCATCATTGAACATGTACAATTGTTGTTCTATGATGCTTAAAATTTAAACTATTTCAACTTAAACTCCATTTGTCATTGAGTTTTCATAATATAGACAAGGATTACCAGACAATACCCCATTGTGACACCTCTCTGTCTAGAGCATTATGAGAAAATTTTCATAAACTCTTGTTCAAGAGTTTTCCTTTACAAGTGATTTCCTTTCTGTTTTAAGCTCACAAACATGTTAGCACTTTCATTTTCATTGTGAACGGTTCTCTGGTTTCTTTCTGCCCAGCAACCATGTAAACTTACCCTTCTGTAAGCTATCCGTAACGCGTTGCACATGAGCGTCAAAGCGCATGATGCTTTTGTTGAGACACGCATTGGTGCTATTCATGTGAAAGGGGCTTAAGGGCATCTACCTAACATGGAACATGGACACGAAGATGAATAAGTTACTTTTTTTGTAGCTGTAATTGTCGTTTTGGTGTTTTTTCCCTTCTTCTTCATGCTTGAATCCTACTGAACAGGTTCGCCCCAATACTGATCTAGATTGAGTGAAATGCAATTTCAAGTCAAATTCCAACAGCACGCCGTTCCCGTGCCATATGGGGCCAAAATTATCGGTCTGCGTAAATGAATGCATGTATATGTGTCCAAAGCCAACCATTCTGAGGTCTTGGCAGTCCTCAATTTAATAAACCGAGGTGCAAATCAAACATTTCTATAGTCGTTGTCGAAATATGTCAATTCTATAGCATGTTTGCATGGTGATGACCACTTTAAATGAACGATTATTACTTGTCTTGAGCTTCAGTAATGATGCTCTTTGAAATATGCTTATTTTATATTTTGGTTTCATTTTGGGTTTGCGTTCACAAAGAAAGTCACGGATGGAGGAAGTCATGTGAGGTGAAATCAATGAGCATTCATAATTTTCCTCTGACTGAACCGTGCGCGAGTGTGAGAGTGAGTGAGTGTGTGCTTGTGTTGTGTGTGGGTTAAACCAGTGAACTAAGCGTGATATTTTTGTCAGTGGTGTAGGAGTGAATGAGAGTGTGAAAGCTTTTTTTTCCTCCTCTGCAGGCCACGTGATGAAGGGAACGCTCCCCTCCCTCTTTTTCTCCCTCGGTCCTTCGTTCTTTCATTCTGGACGTCTTCCCAGGAAATGCTGCCATTGTCTCCACTCTCCCAAAGTCCCACAGCCATAGACTACCCCTGCCCAGTCCCAAAGCAGGCTGGGAAAAAATCTGCCATTTGCACCACTGCGGTATTTCAGCCCTTTACGGTCTTAGCAAGCCTGGCTCCGCAGAAAGAGAGGGATTTGAGACGGAAAAGGGAAAAGGTCTGGAGATGAGGCTTGAGAGTCCAGTTTAATGAGACATTTCCCATTTTCTTACTGCTCCATTGTTGGTGTTAATGTTGAATTATCAATGACTCACACAGTTTTCTTTCCTTGTTTCCTTCCTCTGTCTTTCCTGTCTTTCCAAGAAGGTGATGCTGCCAACCGGTCTGACTGAACCGTGCGCGAGTGTGAGAGTGAGTGAGTGTGTGCTTGTGTTGTGTGTGGGTTAAACCAGTGAACTAAGCGTGATATTTTTGTCAGTGGTGTAGGAGTGAATGAGAGTGTGAAAGCTTTTTTTTCCTCCTCTGCAGGCCACGTCTGTCTGTCTCACTCCTCGTGGCCATCAATCCGATGAGAGCGAGCGAGCCAGAGGGCCGCATGGGGAGAGAGCAAACGCAGTGTGTGGGGGTTGCGTAGAGAGGGGGCCGAGCATGTTTTGTTCTCCTCCAGGTGCACGGCCATCAGAAACGATTTGAACGCCGCCCTGCCCCACATGCAACGTCGAATCTGTATATCCGAGCAAATCAGATTCGTTAGCATGCAATTTAGGGTGCGTGTGCATGTCTGAAATGATGGCCCACGATCACAGAGCGGCTGAGGGACCCTGCAAAGGCTCCTTCAGTCTTATCAACATCACCCAGACCCTTCTGTGCTCACGTCTGCAGCTCTGTCCAAAACACGCACACACACACACACACACACACATTTGCAGCTAGGGCGCCTGCTCTGGCCTCTCACTCAAGCGACGGGGCGCGCGTAGTGAGAGAGCGCGGTAACCAGGGCGATGGTTGATAAGATATTCGCTCCCCCACGGTTCATTCGTTCCAGGGGAACAGGAGCACGGCGCTACTATGGTTCCGATGGTTTCCGTAGGGCAGCTGGACCCTCCCCCCATGACTTCCATCCCATAATGAAGGACTCCCAATGGACAGCGATGCCACTCCCACTCGGAAAGCTGTGGCGCTTGTAAACACTGGGTGCAAACAAACAAATAAAACAAATGAAGAGCGGAATGAAAGCACTATTTGAGAACGAACATGTCCTGAACCAAAAATAAACAGTGAATGGCAGAATGTCATTCCGTTTTTCTTTTTTCCTGTGTTCCATTTCGGAACCATCTGAGTTCTACTCCGGATTCTTGCCCTTTATTGGATGCTCTGGAACTATTTGCCGCCAAATGGAAAATGGACAACATTCGTTCCAGGGGAACAGGAGCACGGCGCTACTATGGTAACGGCAGAGCGAGATGTTGCGCTATAATTGGTGCAGTGCTGCGAGCAGCATAGCGGCACTTCCAGGTGCGCGTGTCAGCGCGCAGAAGCCACGATATTACACTCCCACTGGGAGACGGCGGAAAAGCACAACGTGTCCGGTTCTCATCTCCTCTATCCTCCTCCTCCTGCTCCCCTATATTGCTATGTCCTCTTTATTTTAGTCACAAAATAATCGCAGCGTGCTTGTGATTGATTAAACTGTATCCATAATTTTACCCATAACCAAGTTATCAAGGACGGTCTTTTAAACGTAGCCTAATGTGGAATAGCATACAATTTTTAAATTCATCTCAAGGAGTAAAATTTTATTTTTCTTTGGAATAGGCCTATTCATTCCATTTTAAACTTTTAAATTACTTAAATTGTTATTTTTAACTATTAAAGAGCACAATTAAACTAGTGTATTTAAAAATTATTTTTCAAAAGTGATTTTTGAAAAACGCTTTTGGTCGGACCGAGTCCCAAAACACACTTGTAGCCAATCAGCAGTAAGTGGGCGTGTCTTTGCAATGATAGAGAGAAGAGAGCGCTCAATTTGAGTGCACAGGATGGATATTCGTAGATCGACTACAGACAGAGAGATGGCAGATAAAAAAAGAGGTAAATATCAGAGAAACAAACATTAAAAAGAAGGGTTACGATCAGTGAAGAAGAGGTAGGACCCGTGTAAATATCGAAGCAGCTTTCCAGCGGTGGAGAGAACTCAAGGAGCAGGAAGGCCTGGAATCAGACGCCGAGGTTGCGTTGTTTTTTCTTTTTGATAGGTGAGTAACGTTGATTTTATCTATGTTGGCTTTTGTTTGAATATGCATTATTCAATATGCATAACGTCGTGACAGATCGCTGTAGTGCCTCTGTTCGAGTGGCATGTGAACCGATCATCTCTTCCACTTTACTAGTTATAGCATGAAATAATCTTGAATGAATTTAATAAGGTATCTTGTTTCATCTGTGAAAAGAGTCAATGCACACAACTTTTCAAGTTTAGGTCCACCAATGATAATCTACGCCCCTGTCGTCTTCTTCTTTTGTTTTAACTGGCGGGCATCAAAAGCACATGTCGCCACCTACTGTTCAGTTTAATATATCATAATCTACGTCTTAATGCGTTTACCCCAAGCCTAACTTCATCAGGACTCAGGTGTCAGCTGGCGCTGTGTTCAGCTCCTCCTACTTTTACTCCCCAGTCTGGTTTCTTTGTCAGACAAAAATGGCGAATTCGGAGTTATGATTGGTCAAATCGCCTGTTAGTCAAACTAATGTTGTTTTTGGTCAAACTCCCTGTGAAGGGTCAATTGGAATTAAAAAAAAAAACATATTTGGACATAAATGTTTATCATGTGCTCTCTTTCTCCACATATGAATCAAGTATAGCTTCTTCCTGAAAATACAGTTGAACAGTTACTTTTGTTTATGATTGCCTACAAACGAGGTTCTTCTTCATGATAAAAACACCAATGTTCAAGTAAAGTAATGCTAATACGTACAATAAACAATTATTCTACAAAGTAATATAGTTTTATTCAGCATGAGAACAAGAGAAATTGATCTGATATTACTGATTTTACTATGAACAGTTAAGTTTAAATAAGTTAAAAGTATCTAATCCTACTGGATTTTGGCCAATAATCAAGCAGCTATTTATGCAATCTTTTTAGTAAACATGCTTTTGGACTGGCTCTGTTCTTTCTTGTCAAATATCCTGCTTCATTTAGAAATAAATCACATTTCAGAAGAACTAGTTGCACCACGCTTGGATGACTGTTTCCAAACAAGTTTCGGAGCAAGCTGTGTTAGCAGTACCATTTCAATGATACAGGCAGAGCATCTTCTTTATCAAAGATCTAAGAGATCCATTGTGACATCATGGTAAAACAACAAAATTGGCAGCAACCTCAAAAAGTTGTACTAAAGCTAATTATGTACACAGATCTATTTGATATGCCATTGTATTGTATTCAGTATTATTTGGTGTACTTTCATTGCTAAATGCAAGAGCTTAGGGGTCAGTTTAATTTAGTAATGACTTATTTTACTGTAAACAACAGCAACAAAGTTGCACATGGATCCATGATGGTGTTAGTTGCCATGGTATCAAATCATTTAGAGTCTAAGGACATAAACAGCCCTCAGCAGTATCTCTTAAGTTCTAATTTTCCAGTAATTATGGTAATTCCAACAATGACGTGAATGCAACATAATTTTGGCTATTTCAGTTTCTTGTCCAATCAGAATATAGAGCCATTTTATGAATTTGAAGAATCAACCACTAATTCGGAGAAAAGGAAACACACTGATGCTGTTATTTGAGTTCATTTTAAGCACACATTGGAAAAACTCTGCCTTTTCAAACGGACATGTAATTTTTTCTCTGTCTGCAAAAATACAGATCTTTTTGAAGTGAAACCTCACATGGTAAGAAGTCCATGACGGGCCGACTTGATTTAGCCCAAAAAACGACGTCCAAATGACGTCTGGTGCTGGGTGGGTAGTTTTATTGCCTCAGGACCATTGGTCTTGGTGTGTAAATGGCTCTCATTGGTTGATTGATTTTTCCTAAACATATGGCTTCAGTTTCATAATGAGGCATTAAAGGGACAGTTCACTCAAAACGACAACATTATTCACCCCCAAGTCATTCCAATTTTATTTTCTTTATTCCTGTTACTTTAAGCATACACTCAAGCTCTTGAAAGCCAGATGGATGGATAGGAATTACTGAAATAAATGAACTTTTCCATGACATTCTAATTTATTGAGATGCACCTGTAATTGGCTGTAAATGTTTTTATTTTTCATTAGCTGGAAAAAAAAATTGTTCTTAAAGGGATTTCAGTGATATTATTCCTCTGTGTCGTTAACTTTATAGTTATGATTTAGATTTCACTATTCTCACTAAATTCGAATGGTTATTAAAACTTTATAGTTATTTTTATCGTTATCATTCTTGAGTTTTTTTTCTTGTTGTTTTCACCATGGTTACTATAAAGATTGTTTGAACGTATTCCATGGTCTGTCTGAATACTGGATTCTGATTGGCTGGCAGGTATACAGTAAAACCGTTTAATGCACAGGTAGTTCTAAGTCAGTTTAATCACCTTCCTATATTAATGCGCTGCTTTAATTGATGCACACCAACTCGCGCGCGCGCGCGCACACACACACACACACACACACACACACACACACAGAGAGAGAGAGC